TCCACACCCATGACTTGACGCTGACTGGAGTGTGTAAAATTTCACTTTCATTGCCATCTCTCTCTCTAACGGTTCCATCGCTCTTGAAAGTCAGCCTCAACTATGTGTGTGAACATAGACTGTGAAATGTAAGTAATGCTTGTGAAGCATAGGTGTGAAGTAGAAGACAATAATGAGGTTAGCGCCACCCGCAGCTTAGGAATAGGTTGTACGGATATGTCGGAGCTGATGCTGAAAATAGACAGCCTTACAGACAGGTGGATCAGTTTTAGTCGGATTGATTGAGTTGTTTACATGAAGGCTGTTAGTTCGATTGATCCATAATCTAATTATGAACAGATTATGAGGTAACATGTAAACATAGCTTGTTTAACCCCTTCTCTGTCACCCCCCTTTTTGTGAGTATGAAAAAGTTTTGGAAGTTTAAATTTACATTAAATCAAATATACTGTACTATATATTTTTTATTTTATATAAAATATATATTTTAAAAAAAATATTTTACTCTAAAATGACTATAAAATCAAAGCCATAGATCTAACCAAGTTATGTTCCAAATTTGAAGTTGATATCACAAAAATTGAAGTTTCCTTGAGATTTTGTTTAGGCGTAATACCAAAAATAGCCACCAGGTGCCAACGAATTCTATTTAATTTAGTTGTATACATTCTGCCTTAACAAATTAATAAATGTCTGTCCAAATATCAATTCTGTCACAAAATATGGAACCTTGAGACACAGACCTTTCTGACAATATGTGTTTTGTCAAGATTAGAAAAGGTTTTGATCATAAATTATTAAATATAATGATGCCCGAAAGGGGAGGAGCCTGATACGCAACTATACGTTACCATATAAACATTCATTTATAAAACGGTTTTCACAGGTTGAATTCTGAGTTTATAAGCTTTCAAATGATACCGAATTTATGATAACTACTAAAATATTTGATATAATAAAAAAGGCGATAAAAAAGATATTATTATATATTATATTTTAGAGGATTATATATATATATATATATATATATATATATTATTATTAGGATAAGGATAATATTATACTATAATTTTTATTGAAAAATACTAGATTATATGTTTTTATGAACTTTTAGCATAAAAACAGAAGTTTCAATGATTAAATCGACAAATCGTGTATCGACTTTTTGTGACAAAAGTCAGACCTCCTGTTAATGTACAGATTTTTTGAGGTGCACTCTTGTCATAAATTCAGCAGTTACTCTTCAAACATAATTAGTAACACAAAACAGGGGTAGAAAATCTATTTAGAAGTCTTAGACCTTTCCATCGATATATAATTTGGCATAATTAGATTAGGATTTAATAGAAATATAGTGAAGTAAAGTTAGGCGTCCCGGTACCGGTACTGTATCATGATTTAACTGAGTTTGGTTTATATCTCTTAGGAGGTTTGCATCTTATATGTGGGTTGCCAAAGGTTCAAGTTTTAATGAAACTGTAGGAAATGAGGATTGTACATAATTGTGCACACAAATAAATGAAAAATGTATGCAAAAATCGAACATGTTAAGGAAAAAGAATTACAATTATATAAAAGTTAGTGATCATACTACCGGCAGATATTTGATATTTGATGTATAATAATTTTTCATTTTATTGAGCAAATTCATTGAGCCATCCTTCAGCTAAAAGATATAATCCCTTGCACAATTTCCCATTATAGTTGTGTGTTTGGATCCCTTAAAAGCAGTATTAACCATTAACCATGTGCAGCAAATCTTTCAGTTAGGTTTTTAATAGTAGGTCAGTTCTCCAAATAGAAGTCAAATTCAGTAGCAGTTCACTTGACCAAGCTGATGAAAGATCTATTTTGGTAGTGTAAATCTACAGCTAGTCTTTCCCCTGCTGCTGCTGCAGGATCAGGTTCAATGAGAGACATGCAAGCCAATACAGACTGTCTGAGCTCAAATCTGAAATTATCACAATTATTCTGCTAGACTGCACGATCACACAGATAGGTGGTCAGAAACTTAGTGTTTACTGGTCCTAAAACTCTCCCTGTTGGTCAGTGTGGTTAAGTTTCACTTCTGCATGTTGTTTTGGAGACAGCCAGACATGGGCATGTCTATCTGACCTCTGTTGATAGAAATAGAAATGGTCGGTGGCAACGCCAAAAGTTCAGCATGGATTAAGATCACATGCACACACTTGTATTATGCAGTGTGTGCAGGTTTTTTTTTTTTTTTTAACCGTTAAATTATTCACGGGTTACATTATTTATTTAAATGGCTCTAACCTTTAAAATAAAAAAAGCAGCTACACTGGAAACAAACTGGTGAGAATGCAGTCTAAATGTCACTAATGCTTTTTTTCTTTCTTACATTAATACAATCTCAACTTGTTAATGACCTCCCGTTATTCTCGTAGGATTTATTTGAATGTCGTAAACGAGAAACTAAAATGACATCTAAATCCATAAGCTCCTGATACTTTGTGTTTAGAGTTGCAGAACACAGTTGTAGAAGTATTCCCTTCCCAGCAGACATGAAGAATAGCTTGTGATGCTGATCATGTGCAGCTAGTCTCATGACTGTCATGTCTGTGTGTAGTATGAAGACTTCGACCAGATGGCATGCCATTTACACACACACACACACACACGCTCTACTGCAGTCTATTGTGAGGCCGGGTTTGTAATGAATCCAATTACTGGCCACTATGTCCAGCTCTTGTGTAGTCATACTAGTGCCAATTTAGCCTTCTGATTCAATTAGAGTCTCAGGAAAGACCTCTGATCTAAGGTGAAGCTGTAGATGTTTACTCCGCCGTGAGAACATTCTCTCAGAGCCCAAACATGCAAAGTTTAGTTCACACCAATGCATCTGTTCCTTTAGTGGTATTGATGCAATTTGCTTCATGATGCTTTTGTTGTTTTATTCAGGTTTCCTGTGGGTCTTTAAAATGTGTTATCATTTTAATAGATATTAAATATGGGGCCAAAAAAATAGGGATTGCGAAACAAGCAAATGTGATTAATACATTTAAAGACGATGATTTAATTTATTAAATGCAGGTGGTACACGTTGTTGCACGTTCTACAGGCTCTTGGTTTCAGAGCAGTTCACCAAAGAATACTGCAAAAGTCATGCCGAGCGATTGCTAATGATCTACTGTTCATGAATTATGGTAATGTTTACTTATTGGTGTTTATATTGTAATAGTATGTTGCAGATGGTTCTAAGAATGCATATTTTATCTCCCTCGTCTTTTTGAATGATCAGCTACTAGTAGTAAAGCAACGACATTTGACAAAAGTCCTATAGTTTGTGCTTGTTCAAAATTAAAAATCTTAAATCATGCATAAAATCTTTTCTGGTTATTCTTGTGGCTTCTTTCACACTGTGAGACTGACAAATCTATTTAACACATTCAGAATATAGATTTTTCTTAGATTGGACAACTATCATATCAGCAAAATATAATATTGACTCACCTCTAATTTGCATGTTTTGTATGAAACATGTCATTAATATTTTAAGCTTGCAGTTGTTGCACCTGTTTTGCATTTGAATGTGAGCCCCAACTAGAATCTGAAAAACATGATTTATTTAGAGTGGTATGGAGTTGTTAGGTTTGGATTCCGTGGATGTATGGATACCATTTTAATGGAAAAACTTTACAATGATCTAACTACTATATTGGTTAACACAAACTAACTACTACATTTATTCATTTTTGTCAATGCTAATTTCAACATTTACTAATACATGTTTAAAATCAAAGTTTGAATTTAACATTAGTTAATGCACTGTGAAGTAACATTAAACTAAAATGAACAAATTCTATTTTTACTAAATAACATGAAGAAAGATTAATAAATGCTTTAAAAATGATATCGCTCATTGTTAGTTCATGTTAGCTAATGCAATCACTGTTAAAGTTGGCATGAAATCAAATTTGACAAATCTTCTTTTTATATGTAATACTGTAGTGTTTATAATAAAGGATTTATCTGTGCACTTCATGTACCCTTATAATCTTTAATCAAATACATTACCCTTCCCTCCCCCATCCAAACGACCTCTCTTCTATTTCGGTCACGTGGAATGGCGAAAGGGTGCGGGTGCGGCCAGATCCAATGAGGGTGCGGCTATCTGTGAACCCCCTCTCAGAGAATCGCATTCAAATCTGCCTCCATTTTGTATGCAAATCAACCTCCAATGATCCAATCAATTCCCGAAGGACGAAATCAAGCCCTGCCCTACATTTTTTGTTATAATTTCAGAAGCCGTTTCACTCGGATATACGTCACGACAAGGACAAAATGACAATCTCAACTTCCGTTTCACGCCGATTTTAACAAGAGTGACCTTATGGTTAAATGTTAACATTTTATTAAAGTCTTCAAAAAGATTTGGTTTAAAAAAGAGCACTTTGTTTTTTGGTTCATTGGCAGGAAGAACAGCCAGAAGGAAAACAAATGGTTATTTTAATCATTTGTTTTATTGTATCATACTGTTTATGCTTTACTTGGGTTAGCAATTCATTTTAGGTACTCAGGTTTCAAGAACTCACATTGTACTTTTGATGTTGTAATACTATTGTTTGAATCAAAAAATAGAAACCCGTAGGTGTGTTTTCTGTCACGGTTCCTCATTTTCAGCGGTTTCCTCGGATGCTGAAACTAAAACAGAGCACATGAAAGTTTCTCTGATTCTACAAAGCTTGTGAATATTTATTAAGGCATACACTGAGGTTAGTGTACCATTGGTTGCATGTTGGTAAAGAGTTCCCTTTTACATTCCAGCAAATTCACAGCAGTAACTCCAGAGTAAACATGGATTTGATGATCCCAATGCAAAATAATGTGAAATGTTTAACTTGGGGTATAAAAGGACCATTCACCTAGCATTAAAGAAGAGTGTGATTATGTGCTGTTTAGATGCGTTGAATGTGAAACTTTTTTTAGCTTCTGAAGCCCAGAGCATTGACTAACCTGAGTGTTTTTTGTCATTACAGACATTCAAGCCTCTGGTTGGGAAGACAGTGTTTGGGTCCATCACAGCCATTGAGTTCTTCTCTGACAGACATCTGGACTTCCTGACGGATGAAGGAGCCTTTCAGCCTTATCAGGTGAGAATCTATTGTGCTGAGTCTGAAACTTCCCTAGCAACTGTATAGCATCTGAAAAAATACGCCAGTATGTCCGAATACATAGTATTTATGAAAAAAGTAGCCGAAACGGTCACGAAGTAAGTTAATATTCAAATGTAGTATATGTAGTGCACCATTGGTCTCATTTGGTTTGCATTCTTTATTACATGTTACTTTAGTCTGTGTTTACACTGAGCTAAATGCTGACCCCTCTCTCATCTCTGCCCATGGAGGGATCTATAATAGCCTTGTCAGTTTATCAATCTTGTCTTCTAAGATGAATATTTTGGTTTATTTTTTGGGTTAAACTACCTTCTGGTTGTTCGTCCTTCCCTTGTTTTCCTCGAAATCCTTTGCTAGTATTCACCCGCCATGAGAATACGTTCCCTCCAGCTTCCACTAACGGATGCTGCTGGGTGGATGGGTATACAAGCTGGTCAGCTATACGAGTTTGCCTCCATGGGCGCTTCATGCTCAGAGCACTAATAAGGACAACAAACAGCCTCTTCTATGGTTCTGTGCTCAGCCACTCTCATAAACAGCTTAATTATTCTAGCTTAGATAAAACACACAGTGGCAGAGAGGCTCTGAAAACAAACACACATGACAGATGGGAGGAGATGCTCTCCACTGCTGGATTCATATTCACGACATGTTTTATCCCCAGTGTTGCAGGCTCACCTCCATCCTGCATGACGGATAATGAAAGGCCATCTGCCAGCAAATTATCGTCGCTCTAATATCATCGCCCTGATCCCAAACCTTGGCGTATTGTGTGTGGGGGAAATTATTGTGATAATTTTGAGGGGAATAATGAAACGGCTTCTTGCTTTGTGGCTACTGTAGTGGAGTAGACTACTGTGTGTGCTTTCAGTGATTACATTTCCGTAGATGATTTGGACTAATCTATGGGGATGCTTGTCATTAATCTCTGCAGGAAGTAGAAAAAAGAAAATGAATGCGTTTACAGTAAATGTTGCAAGTATATCAATAATATGATGGGATATGAAGATTTAAGCTGTGTTCCAAAACTTGACAACATTTGTAGGTATATCTGTGCTTGTGATTAAAAGGTTGTTTTAGTAAGCAGAAAAATACGCTACCTTTTAGGGTACCTCACTGCATGCCGACTGCCTACGCTCCATAGGTTCCACTAAAATCTCAGGATTACGCAAGCTTCCAGTTAGTATTTCCCAAAGCAAACTGTAGTGGTAGGCAACTCTTTTTGTCATGTTGATCACAGCAAATTATACTATTTCTAGGGCTCTCAAAATTAACTGGTCAATTTTGCGCAACATTTATTTATTTATTTTCAGTTTTGCGCAATATTTTACCCAATTAACACAGCATTAGTTATTTTCTATCATCCTCTGGCTGCACTTTAAGCACTGTTTACAAGGTTCCATGTGTCAAAAAAAAATGCATTTTGGCAGGGCAATTCAAAATCTGAACCAGTAGAAAAAAACCTTAGCATTGAGCCCTGATATTTTAATAGCACAGCTAAATGTGACATTTATTACAATGGGTTTATAGAGATTAGAACGAGAGCAGCAGTATACAAACTGAACAGCAGCTACTGTTAGTAATGAAATGAAAAATACCAATTAAACACCTGGAGACTGAGACACCGTCATTATTTAAAGCTATTTTCTAGTCGTTAAGATTTCAATATAGGAACATTCATAATGCTTCCCCCACTGGAAGACTGTGGGCTCTCTAAACTGTCAGGGGCCTTCTTTTTTCTTAAAACATCACGTTATCACATTAACAAACATTTTAAAAAATCGATTTTTGAAATTTGCGAAACGATTTGTATCTGTAGAAGGTGGAATCTCATTTTATATATGAATACACCCCCCCCCCCATATATATATATATATATATATATGGAATATATATATGGATATATATATGGAACATATATATGGAATATATATATATATAATTAGTATATTTTAACATAACATAACTTCTGAGTAAACATAAAAGATTAGCAGAGTTCACACCACAACTATAATATTGATGCCCAATCTTGTTGGAACCACTTTCAGAATGATTTTTCCTGCCGATGAATGATAATCACATTGACAGCTAATCCGAATCATCCCATGTTAAAGAGATATGAGCGTTTAAAGTGGCAGAGACAGAACGGCAGCACACGTTTAGAATAAACTATGTCGTCCGCTGGTGTGTGTGCTATTATAGTTATTTTTATAGTTATTGTTCTTGGTGTGAACAGGCCTTAAACCTTTAGCTATGCGACATTGCTAATGTAAAGGTAAATTTCAACCAATCCATTAGGAATCTGTGCAATCTGGAGTTTTGCGTTAGGACGAAAAATTCCCCCACGCAGATTTCACTCATGTTGAGGTTAAAAGTTATGTCGATGTGCGTCTCTCTCTAGTCTGTCTAACCCAGCTGGGCAGAGCATCTTTTGATCTTTCTGTATCTTGCTTGCTAATGTTGGCCACTTCCAGGGCTGTTCTGTGACTTTGTGCATGAGAGTGAAATACAACTATTTATTACGTTTGATAAATGACAAAGGTGTTTGTTTAGGGGCGGCAGTGGCTAAGTGGTTCATGTAGGTTGTCTACAAACTGGAAGGTTGGTGGTTCAATCCCCGGTTCCACCTGACCAAGTGTTGAGGTGTCCATGAGCAAGACATCTAACCCCATCTGCTCCCGACGAGCTGGATGGCGCCTTGCGTCGGTGTATGTGTGAATGGGTGAATGTGAGGCAAAATGTAAAGCGCTTTGGAGGCCATTGGGTCTGTGAAAGCGCTATATAAATGCAGTCCATTTACCATTTACCATTTATAAACTGCAACTATGAAAAGATAACCGTGTCACGTGTTAACATGCGTTCATATGCGCATGCTCGAAATGAAACGCGCACTTTCCAGCAAAACATCTGTGGGGACCAGTACAATATGGGCGTGATGGCACTCCTCATTATAGGGCCACATACTTTTAAAACAAGACAATGATTATCTAGTATCCAAGTCAGTTTAGTTACAACTCTGCAATAAAGCAAGACGGAAAGCACTGTATTGACATTGCCTTGATTTATAGGCTATTGCATTTAAAAGGTTGTTTGGCTGGACATACTGGTCAATGGATGCACATCCCTTAGTAAATAATAACCATCAAGTATGAAGTATTGCTTTTATTGTTTAAAAGACAGTGACATGCTATGCTTTTATTCATTCACAAGATGCATTTTTGATATCAACTTTTTACTGTTTAAAATGTGAATACTTGATAATAATATTGTACTTTACCCAGTAACAATCAGGAGATACATTTTCATGAGTACAAGTTAAACGAGGGAGGATTGTAGTGCGAGCACTGGGGTGTCAGGTGTGACTGTGTGGCAATGGCAAGTGGTTTACATGGCTCATGGGTCAGGTAGGAGGGCCCGTTAACAGAATTTTGCTTACGGTTTTGCTCTGAGTATCAGAGCTTATTTCAATATTTGACCATGAGACAACGCACCACAGAGTATGAGTGTTTCACTCTCAGGTGAAAATGAGATTATGGTGCTACAGTCATGGACTGCACACTCACACATTTAACAATTTGCACACCACAAGCATGTCAGGAGGAAGCAGGTATTTCTTCTTCTCTACAGTTCCTCTTACAGCCGAGAAATGTCCTCAAAAAGGAGGATTCCTCAGTACCAGATCTGCTGCTGTGACTCTCACGAGACTCTCGCACATTCCAACACACCATCTTGCTCTGGAATCAAAAACACGCCTCCTTTTAAAAATTCAAAGTCTGACCTCCGAAGTGCTTGGGAACTACGTTGTTTGCTTGCTGGAGTGTGATGAGCTGGCTTGCTCACATCCTGTCCTGGCCTCTTTTCTCCTTCATGGATTTTTTTTTCCACAGTGCAGCCTGATCCAGCGATGGATAGAGGAGAGGCTGGAGCCCAGGAATCTGTTTGGCATAATTGCAACAATTGAGGCTCTGTGTGTGAGGCCAGCCGGCGAGAGAAAGAGAAAACAGGACTGCTGTTAGGGTGTGCATTACTGGAAGAGACGACTACACGCTTGTGACTTACAGTCATTATTCTCTGTGGGCTGCATTACTGAATGGGGATTGGGTCTGGGCATGCATTTACATTCGTTTATCGTTGAGTGGGATGGAAGAGGAGGAATTTGAACTCTGACCTCAGTGTGGCCGCATAGAGGACTTGAGAACTCTATGTAACAATGAAACACTCTTGTTTACTGTCATGGCAGTTAAGGTACATTCACACTGACAGCCATTAAATCGCTGGAGGTCGGAAAGTCGCTGTGCTGTTGGTCTCTAGTCGCTGTATTCAACCATATCAGTACTGTCTGCACTACCGTTTTAAGGCCTAGATCAATTCTCCACACTTTTATCCAAATTTTTCAGGCAAATTCAGCAGAAATTCATTTAAATATAATAATAAAACGTAAGTTTAAATATTTAGTTGTTGACTAGTATGGATTTTTTGATGGCTGATGAAGATATCTTGGCCAATGACCAATATAATTTAAAGAAAACACGTGCACAATTTTTGAAACAAAATTTATATTTATTTTACATAATATGTACTCAAATAATCTGAAATCAATTATTTGAAAATAAATCCTATTCGAGAAATTATTTGAGCGTGATAAAATCTGTAAAATCTGTAAAATAAAATGATTTATACTTTAGATAGAAACGTCTTGTTTCTGTAATACAGTTATAGTATTTTCACAAAGAAGTTGTTAAAAATACAAATAAAAGTAAACACAAACTAACAGTTTAAAGGATTAAAAACTATAAACTGTAGTCTTTTTTTTTTATTTGCAAGACTTGCTGCTGGGACTATGTTCTATGCTTGATGGTCAGTTCCTTATTTCACATCAAATCACCAACTCTCATCGAAAACAAACCACTTCTATTCGCTTTATGGCTGCAAACTGCTGTCACTGTGAATACCCTTTAGTGTTACGCCCTCTGTGT